CAGGGAAAGTACCAGGTACGGCTCCCGCGGATGAGAGTTTGCCTCCCCCTTGCTCCAGTGTGACAGCTGTGGTGCTTGGTGATTAGCCACTCGCACACCCAGCGCTATTCCATGGGCAGGGTACATCAGTGGTGGAGGACATTCAGCATCAACTTGCCTTTTCTTCCCCAGCCTGACTGTCCCTGACCCACCCCTTTCATTCATTTGGATTTTGTTTCTTTTAATCACTTTGCTTCTATGTGGGGACCTGAACTGAGTGTATACTTTGTGCTCTCCAAATAAAGCCTAAAGTAATTAGTGTAATGCGCTAAAATAGAGCCCCCCTTCCCTGCTGTACCTGTTAAACCACAGTAGCCCACTCCACTCTGTTCTAGCGGGTAGGATAGTGTGAACCAGTCCTCATTCATTTTTGGGAATCAAAAACCCTGTTTCACTATAAAAGTAGAGCTTTTACGTGACAATGGTCAGGGCTGAACTGGCAGCATTTCTCTGCTTACTAAAAACCCCGACATCTGCTTTAATTTAATCGTTTTTTTGAATCTCTATATTTAGACACGTACTAAAGCAGCTGGAAGCATTATCTGTGGAAATAACTTTGAGCTGAAGTCCATGCAATATAGTATGTCTTGTATAAGGAATATCCATATGATGTGCAGGAGCAGGGTTTGGCCCAGAGCTTGTTTTCCATCCAGTGTTGTGTGCAACTAATGTAAAATAATGTACACGTCAGCAAGGAACCATATTGAGATTTTTTACACGTCACATTGACCATGTGGCAAAACCATGAGTCATGTTAGTAGATACTTTACAGATTTTAGTTTTCCCCAGTTTCATGCTCAATTAAGTCCTGAGTTATTTGATGCACAGAGAAGGAATGTGGTGCTTCTGGCTTGTCATGGAAGCCACTTGGAGGCTAGCCAAGTAGACTGAGAGAATGTGCAGATTGCTAGACTTGTCCACAGTTGCTAATCATGGAATTATTTTAATCCAGGGATGGGCAAATTTAATATGGAATTCAGAAGCTAGTCGATCCAGTTCCAGGAGCCAGCAGGGATTTTATTTAGGAGCCAGCTTTATTGAACTCACAATTTAGGAGCCCCATGGGACTTTTAGGGAGCATTGGCTACCCGGCTCCTGGGATTTGTCTAGCCCAGTTTTAATGACACACCACAATTGTTTTGGGACTTTATTCAGTAAAAGCTCACAGAGACAGATGTAATGGTAGCGTGCGGGTCTGTTCATTTTACATAGGCTGGTTGCTTAAATGGAAAAGATCACTTGTATGTGCAGCAGTTCAGCATTAGGATGAAACGGCATGTTATCTGAATCCTGCAGTGTCTTGAAAGGGATTCATAATGTAGTGCAAAACTAGACACACATGCAGTGCCCCCCTAAACCCTTCCGTCACAGCTTAATGTCAGGACATTGTGACAGTCAAAGCTCCCATACACCCGGGTTATGTTGGAGCATGCAGCTGTGCTTTGCTCTCGCACATTACTTTAGACACAGTCACTATGACGGACAGCCTCACTGGCCAAAAAGAACATGTGTTAGCCAGGAAGCAAGAGGCGAGCTTCAAGACTAAAAGGAAATGCCGGAGCTTTCCCTGTCCGGACCCCCCCCCCTGACATTCAGCCTAAGTGTAGGATCCGGCTGATGTAGGCATCTTTAGTGTCCTCTCAATGTTTATGATATCCTCCTGTGTGATAACATGCACTTCATACTGCTTAAAGAGAACCTGTAGCCAGGCTATGAATATAAACATCATTTACATATTCTAGAAGTGGAACTGAGGCCTGGTTCACACTGAGCGTTTTGTAGCCCTAAAAACCGCTGCAAAAATATGTTCTCCCCCCCCCCCAAACAAAAATCCCATTCATTTCTATGGCCCTGTTCACATCTGAGTATTTGTCACAATAAGCAAAATGGCTGTCGCTGGAACAAGTACATGAGCTTTTTTTTTGGCATATTACAGCTCGTTTTGGCCCCATAGACTCAATAGGAAACGCTTGACAACGTGCGTTTGCTGTGTTTTTGCACGTGTTGAACGCACGTCTGCCCATTAACATCAATGAGCTAGAATCTACTCACAAAAATGCACGACTTGATTTATACGCATAAACCATGCGCATTGAAACATGAAAAACGGTGTTGCCTAGGTGTGAACCAAGCCTAAATTCTGCAGCGGTCTTATTCCACGTTCAACATCATTGGCCATCCTAATTGATGGGCACAGAATAACATAACTCCCTCACACACGCACCAGAGTTAATTCATCTCGGCACCAAGGCATGCTGAGATTGTACTCTGCAGTATGCATGTTAGCAGGCGTTGGATACATTTATTGCAGAAGATACATGGAAGGGAATTTATCAAAACTGGAGCAGCTGTCCATGGCAACCAATCAGCTTCTCTTTCATTTTCAAATCTTAACTGAACAAACAACTGAAGAGAGAAGCTGATTGGTTGCCAAAGGAAACTGCTCCAGATTCTGTCCCAGTTTTGATAAATCCCCCTCCTAGTATGACTCTTGCAATAAAAAGCCTACCTGTTAGCAAAGTAAAGTTCCACTTTCAGTAAATCAGCTTTAAAGGAAAGGTGCACATTATAGCAAGGCACTAGAGCTGCAGCTAACGATTATTTTCAAAATCGATTAGTTAGCCGATTATTAAGTTCGATTAATCGGTTAATCGGATAAACAATAAAAAAAAAATTAAAAATGGCTCATTACCCTTTTTTGCCAATGTGCTCAGAACTAAACTAACTTCCCCTCCACCGATGGATACTTACCTGAATCCTATCTATGACTGTCTTCCGGGGATTGTTTATGTCAAGGGTCACAAGTCCTCTCTGTCCTTGCTGCACCTGCACATTACAGCCCCAGAGACCTCTATAGAGTTACATCTACCTTCATTTCTGGAGAGACAGCTTCTGTAGCTCCATGATTGATTGAGTTTTGCTCAAAAGCATCTTTGAGATGTATTCCTTGATAAAAACATGAGGTATTCTCTGAGTGGCCGCTGTTCTGAGCAAGCGACCCCCTGTGTTTTCAGAGCAGAGGGGAACCGTACCAACACCCAGAAGATCGCAGCCAGCACTGCAGTAGCTTTTCATTTTGGACTAAGTAGATAAGGATTAGAGTCCCTGCAGCAGATGTTTGTTTGCTGTTTCTGTAACCTTTAATTGGGAAAACTTGCCTCACTTCAAGTGTTGTCATGGAGACAGGAAGTATGCAAAGTCTGCCCAGTGGAAGCACTGACAATAATACACTAATTAGCAGAGTGAATGGAATGAGAACCTCTGTCAGGTTTTATTGCTGTCTGCATTCTTTGTTGAGATCTGTCTTCTCGTTTCGTCGCCAGGACTAGAAGTGAGGTAAAAGCTCCCCGACAGGGACACAGATGGCAAAGAAAACCTCACAAGTGTTTTTACTCTTCATCATTGTAACCAAAAGAAAAATAAATGCATATTTATTGGAGTTGGGCTTGAGGCCCCAGGGACACGCATAATCGTGCACAAAAATGGCTAAAATCTTGCCGCCAAAACGCTGTTGCCTAGGTGTGAACTCTTTTGACCTTTTATTTTGGGCCTCTCTAGGTCCCCAGTTTCCTTGCTGTTAAAGAACACGTTTCTCAATTCTAACCTTTAATTTCTGCTGTTCCAGTTCTGAATATGCCTTAACAGTTGCAAAACTGTGATAACTAATCCAAGTGGACCTTGTATCAAATGTTAACATAGAGTTCTGTTAATAGATTTGCTTGCTTGTTTACATAAAGTAGTTGAAAGGCGTAAAAATGTTTCCTGGGAAAAAAATGGAGCTGAAGGTTGGTATCTGTGCTGGCAGCATTTCAGCGTGCCCAAACTGCAATGCCAAATCAATGTATTCATCTCAAAGTGCCAACACTGGAAATAAGTTTGCTATTGTGTTTTTGGTTTGAAAGTTTAAAAAAACTTTCAGTATCACTGCCTTAGACAAAATAGGAAAACGCACATATTCAAACTTTATCACTTTAATTTTTTTTACTTTCTTTTAAATTGTTATTTATCTCTTTACTTTTTTTAAAATCATTTTTATTGATTTTTATTTTATCTTTTTTTTTTCCACTTAACTTTTTTGATATCACACAGGTGCTAACCAACCCTTGTGTGATTAGCATTTGGAGTTGACTGGTTCTCTGTATTGAACCTGTCACCTTCAATACAGGAGTTTTAGCACATCACTGTGCTGGCTCTCCTGTGACACCCGAGATGGAAAGGCTGTTCACACGGGGCAGATCAGGGAACAGACGTTATCCGCTCTGCTCCCTGCTCTCCATCCTGAACTACTGAACTGGACCCCAAAAACCACAGCAGGGAGAAGACCTGTTCTACATTTAGCCCTGCTTGCCCAAAGCAGGACTAAATGTAGAAAAAAAACTACCCGCCTGGCGTCAGGTGATACGATTTTGACACCGCTGCCTAGGCTCCCGTGCCACCAGAGAGGTCTCTGCATGCCCTCTGTGGCACGTGTGCCATAGGTTCGCCATCGCTGGTTTAGGTACTTGGCCACATGGTCTCTGTTGATGCGGGGGGGGGTCATCCTGTTCATCACAGATCATGTGACCAAGTGTCTGATGACGGGGAACTGGAAGTGATTTCAAACACACAGTCTTGACATTCACAAGTGTAACAAAATAAAATAAAATCCATTTCAAACCCTACTTTAGCATCAGAAATGTAAATAGAATTTTATTGCGATGCTACCGTTCTGCTCTGGGCGTCGTTTTTAAATTTCAATGTAGGTCTAGTAATTTTCATAAACTACATCCACGTCATTTGCAAGTCATGTTTTTGTTTTCGTTTTTTTTATTAAGGGGTAATAATCTACTGCGGTTATATGGACATCATTAACACTGCACCTTGTCTGGGATCTAACTAAATGTTCTGCTTTGGTGGTCTCTTTCTAATATCTAATATATTGACCAGCTTCTTAATGTTTTCTACTATTTTATCTTTTATAGACCTGCATTTTAAAACCACAGAGATCCACTGTCTGAAGATGACTGCACCACTGGGGCTTGATCTGAAGGTATATGGCTTTTATATAATGGCGGGGCAGGTATAAATATTTGATAATAAATGGAGATCATTTCCCATGTCATTAATAATTGACTGACTTGAGATGGATTGGGAGGGTATTCTAAGGATAGTGTTAAAGAGCTTTCTTTTCTTCTCTGCCAGTAAATCAATTAGGTCAGCGTCCCTAACTTAGATAACATGCGTCTGCTACAAGCTAAACTGTGTTTATCGTGCTATGTATGTATATAGTATTTGACTGAGCTGGAGTGGAAAAAAGCGCGTGTTTTTAGTGATCATGAAAAAAAAAATTCCTGGCGTCTCTAAAATTCACTTGTGAGCTCTGTCTTATTGTGTGTACCCGATGTTTAGGATAAAACTCGGGCACCCAATCTAACTAACGGGGGATAGCCGAAATGCTGCTAATGTAGAAGATGGTTTTATTTGACAAATGTTCAGTATTGACTCCTGCATTTCCTTTGTCCATGAACATGCAGCAATGAAGTAATATGACTGCAGCTGTTTTTTTATTGCTGCCTGCTGAGGATTTGACTTGGTAAACTACATTTATATCATGGATTTTGCTGGTGTCATGTTAAACAACTCCAGGAAACCCTTTTCTCAACCCTTGCAGTGAGACTGCCCCCAGACCACAAGGGTTAAGTGCTTGGTTCTGTCTAGGTGCTAAAAAAACAAACAACGTTATCCTCACTGGAAGCTCCAAGCAAGCCAGCTGTCACAGCTCTCCCTCCAGCCTGTCTCCTCTGCTGCAGCATTGGAATCTTCCTCAGTGTCCTCATGTCTATACACCAGTGTATAGACATGATGATTTACAGGACCTTAGGCCACTGCAGAGGAGGGGAAGAGACATTCCAGGGACCAGTCTAAGAAGCCAGCTCAGAGCATCAGGTAAGGATAACTTTTTTACCTAGGCAAAAGCAAGCCGTTAACCCTTGCAGTGTGGGGTGGTTTTAACCCCTTAGTGACTGCTCACGTACACTGTATGTGGGCAGCTATTTAGGGCTTTCAAAAGCCGGTAACTGCTGAGATCAGTAGTTACCATCCATTATTAAAAGAATTAAGCTTTAACAGACACCCAATCGTTGGAACGATCGGGTGTCTGATGGTGATAGCAGTGCAGTGTGCGTGTGTGTATGTATATGTATATGTGTGTATATATATATATATATATATACACACCACACTGCACTGCTATCACCATCAGACACCCGATCGCTACAAGTGTTGTCATGGAGACAGGAAGTATGCAAAGTCTGCCCAGCGGAAGCACTGACAATAATACACTAATTAGCAGAGTGAATATATATATATATATATATTAGTCACTGTTTGACAGCTGTACACAGGAGAATTAGGAAATCCCGCTGTGTATGAGCTTTTTGCTACATGTATCAGCAATAGAAACATTTAGCAAACTGTTTCTTTGCTGAAACATTGTATCAGGCTTCTGATCGTTAGTGAGATCTGATCCTGAAATGTTAGCGTCGCTGACTTCCTAAGTTTGGAGCAGCCTAATAACCCAACAATGAAAAAAACAAATGTATTCAATTATCAAGCAGTCGGAGTGAGATCCATTCACAATGACTGATATAATTGACCAAAAAAATGATGTAAAAAAAATTGTATGTATGTATATAATGTAATATATTTTTTATTTTTTCTATGATAATTTTTATAAAAAATTAACCCCATACAATGCAAATCTGAAGCTGAGGTGTTAATTTTTATTTAACCCCCTCATGACGGCATTTCCCTATGTTTTTTGTTTTTTTTGTATTCACACTAAGTGAGGCGTTAGTCACACATATGTGATATAAATATATATATAGCCCTATCTGTCCTCCAAAAAACAATATATAATATGTGTGGGTGCACTTAGTAGGAAAGTATATTACTGACGCGGAAGAATCACACAGCAACAATGTCAAAAGTGTGTCAGTCATTATTGAACAGAAATGGAAAAAAGCTCAGTCATGAAGGGGTTAAAGAACATGCAGGGCAGGTACAAGGAATGTAAATTCAGGCAGGGATTTCTCTATACATGTGCTTCCTTCGGTATTGCAGATAATCAGAAGCCGATAGACGTCAGAGAGAAAACATTTGACATAATTGTTCAGTTATTAAGAAATCGCTTTTCATTCCATTGATTAGGATTCCACCTTTCTATATATGCATTTCCTTTTCTGTACTTGTGCATAACACAGTAACGCCTTCTTACAACAGAAGTATTCACACGTCTCATTCCATCACGTATGTCAAAAGTAAGATGATTGTTCCTCATTTCAAGACAATGGGCAGTGTCATGAAAATCATTGCTCTCCGGCCTGATGCACATCCTGAACCTCTGGTCCATAGTGTACATATAGCCAAATGTTACAGAGCCATTTATTCCAAACTACAGGCAGCTGTTTCAGGCTATTTGGCGGTCATCAGTGCAGTGTATGGAAGCCATGGCTTCTGTGGAGTAGTAGTCCATATGCCATGGCTTCTGTGGAGTAGTAGCCCGCATGCCATGGCTTCTGTGGAGTAGTAGCCCGCATGCCATGGCTTCTGTGGAGTAGGGCTTGGAACCCAGTGGGACAGTATAAACCATACAGGTTATGGTGGAAAGGGATGAAAGCAATCAGAAAGCCCTCACTCTAATCAGTGAGTAGCACAATAGAGCCTTCCTAAAACAGAATGTAGTCACATGTCTCCTTCCATCTCATATCTCAGAAAGTAGAGTGAAGGCTTTTTGATTGCTTTCATTCCTTCTCGCCATAACCTGCTGCCTCCTTTTTAGAGGCATTTTGTTGCCTTTTGAATGCAGTTCTGATTTAGCCATTGTGTCCATGTAATTTGTGGTGTTTACAGGAGAACTCTGAGGTGGGTGCTTTTCACTCACCTCATAGTTCTAGCCGACAAGTGGCAATGAGACTGTCACAGGTCGGCTCAGTAGATCAGGAGGTGAGCGAACACGTATACCGCGAGCTGTAGCTCGCAGTATACTGAGCTTAGGGTGACGGGAGGACGCTAGTTTGTGTCCTCCCGTTACCCTAAGGAGAACTATGGGGAAAAGCCCTAACCCCATAGTTCTCCTTTAATTTCCACATGCGTATGCACTTACATGAATTCTAACGTCTGCAATAAATGTGCATTCTAGCCAATAGAATGAATTTACACCCATATGCCTCTAAATGCCGTGCACACCAAAATGTATGTTTTTACACTGGATGTTCTGCCCAATCCTGGTGCTTATGCCTTCCTGTGTGACATAAGTGGCCTTCTGCAGCTCTGATCTTCACCTGAGCTGCCCTATAGTTTCCTAATATGAGAGATATTTGTGGTCTTTTCCCTTAAAATGGGAACAGGACTGTGTGTATAGTAACCAGGAACATAATGAATTCTGTAGTAACATGCTGGAGATGCATTAGCTCATTTCCTCAAATAGAATCAAGGTTTCCCAGCACAATAGTGGTTGTCCTTGAGAAGCTGGGACCTCTGAGGCCAGGTTTCTTTATCACTTCAACCCAGTTCTACAGAACACTTATGTATTCATCTGACTTCCAGATTCAAGCCTTTCCTGGTAACTGTGCAAATCAATTGAAAGAGGTGGAAGTACACAACTGATCAGCAATGGATGAAATACTAAAAGCGTCTAGAAAGACTAATTGGCCACCACAGTTGTTTTGCTTTCTGACGTTTTGTGTCCGATAAAAAAGACTCGAGTAAATTTGCATGTTTCAGTCTGAAGGCTGCTTGATTGTTTGTAAATCGAATGCCATTGTGATCGCAACTGCTGGGAAACTGTCATTATGTGTTTTTGTTCGAAAAAAACAAGTTTGTGTTACTTCCTGCTGATGAAGTCACCATTAATACCGAAGCAGAAAGAAACCTTATGTAGACAAGGGAATAGAACAGTGCCACCTATTGTGTAATGATGGTATCACACTCACAAAGCAAGTTCTCAGCGCAGTGCTTGACATGTAGCTCCGTTACTTTATATCAGAAACCAGTGTTCACTGTGAAACATTCAACATTTCCATAGGGTTGCTTTTTTTCCCTCATAGTTTCAAGTGAAACTGCATGTAGCTTAAATACACAAATGAAATCCATATATGGGAGCTGGTTTATCTTCCAGAGCCTCTTTTTATGGCTTGAAATTTACAGAGCTCTGCCACACAGCACAACCCGCTCTGGCAGGACAGGAGACCTTTTTTTTTGTGCTACAGGTAAGTTTGAGGCTAACTTGTTTGAGCCCTATTTGTGGGAGGAGACACACACATTTAAACCCCCGTTTCCCCTACTCACCTGTCGTTAACGTTCGTGACACCCCACCCGCCCTTACCCCTTCTGGCAAAATTGTTACTCCTGAGTATGCCCCCTTATTTGCATAGCGACCATGACACACCTCAGGTCAAGTTAGGCAGGTTCATCATCTCTGTGTTCAGGTGCGTATCAGTGGGGCTCTGACTACAAATGACAGTTCTAGGTCTTGTCCCTCCACAAGCCTGTGACTGGACAGTTCTAGGGAAAGTAAAAGGCTGATGAGTCATTTCTCTTGCTCTGCTTTCTCCCCATATCAGCATGTTCCATGTTGGCATATGAGCATTGCAGCACAACTGACTGGCTCCTTGTGCTGCTTCTCCCTCCCACAGTCTGAGGTCGGCTGTATAGGGACTGCAAGAGGCTAAGCTCAAACTTATTTTATGTAATTACCTAAACATAACTTAATTGTGAGTGAATGAAAGCAGAGCTGCATTAAATGTTGTCTTTTACATCTGCATGGAGTTTAGCTTTAGGTGTTGATTTGAGGGCTAATGTATTCATGTGCGAATGGAAGATACTTAGTTTCCTGCCATCTCTCTCCCTGCATTTACAGATGTTGGGACACATTGATGAGAGCATCTCTTTTGTATGACAAACATACCGCCAACTGACAGAAGTGGCATAACTGCGCTTAAGTAAGTATATGTTTTGTTCTAGTAACAGTTAAGACTTTGTATAAAAGAAATGCTGACAACATAGTCTACAGTTGAGCCAAAAAAAGAATCTCTGTGTTTTGAAGAGCTGTCTGTGCCCACTGCATGTGTATTTTATTCAGCATTGATAATGCCACACCAATAAGACTTCTTCGGTTTTAAGGCATTGAGGTTACTTTAGCTCAGGGGTGGGCAATCTTGTCATTCCAGCCTTTGTGAAACTACAAGTCCCATAAGGTATTGCAAGATTCTGACAGCCACTAGTGTTACTCCCAGAGTCATGATGGGATTTGAAGTGTCACCACAGCTGGAGCACCGAGGTTGCCTACCCCTGCTTTAGCCATTTCGCACTTCAGACAAACAAATGAGTGCAGTCAAAGACTGAAGACCTACTGTAGATCCTTATGGATACTGAACTGCTGTCCAAAGGACATTGCAGTAATTAACGCCACACTGCGTCTGTGCTTTATGTTGCATTCATAAAATGCAGAATGCGGTGTGGAGCCTGTAGAAAGACCTGCGTAACATTGCCGCTTTGGAGAAAATCTTTTACATGTTAGATGGACAGATTAAGGGCTTGTTCACGCGATGTCCGGATTCTGTCCGTACCAGAACCGTGCGCTCCTGCACCCAAAATGCATCCCAATGTCTCCCTATGTGTTTTATGGGCTACAGTTCTCACCAGCGCAGCCCGTTCCGGTCCAGACAGAAAAAATACTGCATGTCACATTTTCTCCGGTCCGGAAGCGGACAGGAAACACACAAACGCTTCAAAAACGCATTGCACTGCAGCTAACATACTGACAGCCCCACTTTTTTAACTGAAACGCGTAAAAAATGCACTGCACGCATAGCACCGCGTCTGCAGATCTGGACCAGAAATGGTGTGAACAAGCCCTAAGAATGTGCCAGAGCTCGTAGCCTACTGGAGTCAGAAGGTCACCATGCTAGCCAGGGAAGAAGCATTTTAGGAGGATATCACGGTGACTACATATTGCTTCAAGACAGGGTTCCTTAGAAGAACCAAAAGAGGATGCACATTCTCTCTGTTGTGTACATTTCATCAAATGTTTTATTATTCTTTTGCATTCTAGGCTCCTCATGGATACATTACCAATCTAAACGTCTACCAGCTCCTACAGGTGTTCCCGTATGTTGACCAGCAAGCATGCGGTTCACTGCGAGGAAGGTGCTGTTAGTGATCTCCTTCATTGTATTGGTGGCGTTAGCTGCACACCTTGGCCACCAGATGCTAGAATGTCAGCAAATTCTTGATGAAGGCTATGGCAGGAAACATCGTGGTGTCATGAGACCAGAGAGTGAAGAATTAGTTATGATGGATGCCAATAACGTCGAATACAGATACAGCAAAGACATGCCACTTATATTTATTGGTGGAGTGCCTCGAAGTGGTACAACCTTAATGAGAGCCATGCTAGATGCCCATCCTGATGTCCGATGTGGAGAAGAAACACGGATTATTCCACGGATTTTAGCCATGCGCCAAGCTTGGTCAAAGTCTGGCAGTGAAAAGATGCGCCTTGATGAAGCTGGTGTAACAGACCATGTCATGGATTCTGCTGTACAGGCGTTTATACTAGAGATTATAGCCAAACATGGAGAACCTGCAAAACTTTTATGCAACAAAGACCCTTTCACTTTGAAATCGTCTGTTTATCTCTCCAAACTCTTCCAGAATTCCAAGTTTCTGTTAATGATAAGGGACGGACGTGCCTCTGTACATTCCATGATCACCAGGAAGATAACTATAGCTGGCTTTGATTTAAACAGTTATAGAGACTGCCTCACCAAGTGGAACAAAGCGATCGAGATTATGTATGCACAGTGCTTAGAAATTGGGGAGCGGAAGTGCCTTCCTGTTTACTATGAACAGTTAGTCCTGCACCCTAAACAGACAATGCAAGCAATTATAGACTTTTTGGGCATACCCTGGAACGATGCAGTGCTTCATCATGAGGAATTGATCGGAAAACCTGGAGGAGTGTCTCTTTCAAAGTCAGTACAGCTCTCCATTCGATATTTGTTCTCGTTTGTAGAATGTTGAGGCTCCAGTAGACTTGACTATCTGTTACCTCAATCTAGCCATATAGATTAATATTAGATTGTGCCCCATTTTTTGCTGAAATATGCCGCAACCTGCCGCTAGATGACCAAAAAAGTTGGCCACAAGTCTGTAGACAAGGTTGGCATAAAGGATGAAGTCGAGCCTTGTGGTCACATTGCTTAATTGTGTTGTGGCCTGCTATGTGCAGTCTAAAAGTGAAAGGTGGTAACATCACAGGCCAGTAGTTTTCTTGTATAGTTATCATCTGATCAGTTTGTCCTGTTAGATTTGAAACCATGCTTTTTACTAGGGATGCACCGATACCATTTCTTTGCTATCGAGTAAGAGTACTGATGTATTGTTTTTTCGGTACTCGCCGATACCAATACCGGAAGTCCCATTTAGAGCTGCAGCTAACGATTATTTTCAAAATCGATTAGTTAGCCGATTTATTAAGTTCGATTAATCGGTTAATTGGATAAACAATAAAATACATTTTTAAAAATGGCTCCAGTGATGGACTACTAGTTTGTATTGAGATTGTAGTCCACCACAGGAGCAAGCTTGGAGCAGTGGAAGTAAAAAAAAAAAAAAAAGTGTGGTGTGCAATATAGTGAAATGGAAAGTGTAAAATTATACAGCGGCACAATGCAGAATGGCACCGGCTATAGAGGAGCACAACAAATCCCAGCAATAGTACAATATACAGCGCAATGCAGAATATCACCAGCTATAGAGGAGCACAACAAATCCCAGCAATAGTACATTATAGCTGGTGGTATTCTGTATTAGGCTGTATAATGTACTGTTGCTGGGTTTTGTAGTCCTCTATAGCTAATGGTATTCGGCATTGCACCACTGTATAATGTATTTTTGCTGGGATTTGTAGTGCTCCTCTATAGCTGGTGGAATTTCGCATGGCGCTGTATAATGTATTATTGCTGGGATTTGTAGTCCTCTATACAGCGCAGTGCAGAATATCACCAACTATAGAGGAGTACAACAAATGCCAGCAATAGTACATTATACGTACAGTGTATAATGTATTGCTGGGATTTGTATTCCCAAGTATAATATACAGCACAATGTACCATCAGCTATAGAGGAATACAAATCCCAGCAATACATTATAGAGCACCATGTG